CTGGAATCAATAAGGTAAGGATTCACCACCTTCATTGTCTGATCAGAGTAGGATCTGCAGGCCACAAATGATCGAGTGAGAGATGGAGGGTGGGAGCAAATGCGGCATCTGGGATTTGGCCACGTGGATGGCACAGGTGACCTTGGCTGCATGTAGCCAGGCCACAGGGCAGACATACTGAAGGGTGCAGAAGGTGCCAGGCCCTAAAGAGACAGCCAGAATAACCATACTGGCTCTTATGGATCTGAAGGTACAGGCCCTGGTTGGCTGCTGCTGAGAGTCTGACAGCCCTGCCTAGGGTTGAAAGTCGGGGCTCACAGAATGGGGGTTGAACAGCATGAATTTCACTGACCAGGCAGGCACAACGCAGTGCCAGGAGCCTTGGTAACTCTATGACAGGGTCAGATTCTTCTCATATACTTCTTCCATTACACACACACACACACACACACACACACACACACACACACACACCCCTCCCCACCCCCCTCTCACAGCCCCAACACACACACACACACACACACACACACACACACACACACCCTTCTCCTGACCCCTTTCATGGATGCACACACAGCCTGAGGCTTCTTGGGAGACTTTCTAGGCATAACCCCCAGAAGGGCTCCCTCTGCCTCCTTTCCCAGCTGAACCCATCCTCTCCCAAGGAGAGCATGGTACCAGGAGGCTGGCAAACAAAGGGTGCTAGAAGCCAGGCCTGGACGGCAAGAGGGAGGCATGATCCCACAAACCCTGCACCTCCCAGACAACTTACCACTTGTAACAAACAGCAGCAAACCTGGGCTTCTTCCCAGCCAACGAGCCAGCCTTAGCCCTCCAAGACAGCAGGCTAAGACCACCTTCCAGGAAGGGCCCTGGGCCAGCCTTGGGGTTCTCTTGCTGTCCTCATGTTAGAGGACATGTCTCTTCCTCTGTAACCACAGGTCAGTCCTACCAGGTCCTGGTTAGTATAGGGCAGAGCCTTAGGCTTACCACCATCATGCTCCCTGCTCACAACCTCCCTTAATATCCCAACAGATTTTCCAGGAGGAAGGAGGGGCTTAAATTGGCAGGAGTCCCAGGAAAACCCCTGTTGACTAGGAGTTGAAAAGCGTATTTGGGGACTTTTAAAGCAGAGATACTGGCAGCCAAAACTCCTAGGAAAGCAAGGTTTGGTGACTGAGACCAGTATTTCCAGTACTTGGGAAGCTGAGGTGACTCCAAGTGTAAGGCCAGCCTGGGCTCTGTGGTTACACCTGCCTCGAAGCAAAACAACAATAAAAACTCCTTGGTGCAGGGCATAGTGGCCTATGCCGTTAATCCCAGCACTCGGGTGGATAACTGAGGCCAAGGCCATCCTGTTCTACATAAAGAGCCCAGGCTAGCCAGGGCCACAGTGAGACCCTGTCTCAATCCAGATCAGGCCTCATGCCCAGGACTAACTGACTAACACAAAATGGACCTTTTTTGGAGCTCTTTTTGTATTTTTGTCTCACTGATCTTTTTCTTTCTTTTGCACATTTTGGTTTTCATTTTTGGTTTTTGCTGTTTTTCTTGGGTTTTGTTTTATTTTGTTTGAAAAAGAGAGAACATGAAGCTGGGTTGGTAGGGAGGTGGGGAAGGTGTGGGAGGGCTGGAAAGGGGAAAGAAAATAATAAAAAAATATGGTATGAAAAACAAACAAAGCCACCTCCATGGGAATTGTGGGCAGACCCCACTGGAAATGCCCCCAACAACCTCAGACTACTGGTGGCTGAGACAGGAGAAAGCTCTTTAAGAAGACGCATTGGCAGGCCCGGTAATCTCCCCTTTGCCAGGAGGGATCTGGTGCAGACCACACCTGGCTGAGGTCCTGCCATGGAAACACACCTTCCTCCCCTGGGCTGGAATAGGACAAGAGAAAGAGAGGGCTGGGCTTAAGGAAGGGAGGGGCCAGCTGTTACCCACACACCTGAGCTAGGCGAGCACCACAAAGCAGTGCGCCAGAAGGTCACCAGGATGGAACAACTCATGTGCTAAAGGCAGGGGCCATGATGGGTCAGATGCCCCAGTTGGTGGAGCTGCAGGCAGCCAAGTGTGCTCAGGCTCACAACCCTCTATTGTGGTGTTGACCTCAAGCTGGGTAATGGATCTTCCCTGCCCAGGTAGATTCCAGTCTACCATAGGCCACCACTGCCCCCACCCTGGCTGGAAGATTCTGAACCTCACAGCTTGAACTGGGGACACTGAACAAAACCCCTCAACACATTCCCAAAGCTTTTGGTCCAGATTTGGGCAGGGTATAGCCACAGCCCTCCTAGGTACACAGGGGCACCCACACCCAGAGGCAAACTAAAACGGGCAGATAGGCTTACAGGCACACGTGGTCATGAACACAATCACATATGTGCAAATACATACCATGCTACACACACACATGCTTGCACACTCAGATCCAAGCACTGGGAATAGGACTCCAGGACTTGTCCCTCTGTCTGAGTCCAGATGCCCAGAGCCTCCCTACTCAAAACCCGAGCATATCTACATGTGAGTGGGTCCTGGTAAGGGGCCCCAGCGTGTGCTAAGCATGAAGATCACAGCAGGCAGACTGCGTAAATGCATGTGTGGTCATGGGCATGTTGGCAGGAGTGAGAACAGGGATATGCACCCTTAGAATCCATATGTGTACCCATAGTGTTTACCCATGTGCACCCTAGGGCAGATTTGGTATGAGTGTGCATTGGAGGTGTGCAAGACTATATGAAGCCCACATAGACACGTGCAAAGAAACGTGTGTGCAGCCTGCGGCACCATGGACATCAGCAGGGTAGATAGGGTGGGCACCTGGGGAAGGCAATGTGTTCATTCCACTCCAGATTCTCCAGGTAAGGCATGCCCAACCTACACGAAGCCCTTCCTCCCTTGCCCCTACTGCGGGGACTTTGCACCCGGATGGGAGGAGGGATCCCACAGAGCTGCCAGGGAGGGAGTGCTTCGAGCACCAACGCCCCTCAATGGAGCCTCTCACTCTCAGGAGCCCTCCGGATCTCAGAGGAGGCATTGCTCTGTGTGTGTGTGTGTGTGTGTGTGTGTGTGTGTGTGTGTGTGTGTGTGTGTGTGTG